TTATTCCAGTGGGTAGTAGACGACGATAAATAAGTACATATATATACATATAAAAAGGAATAGGTAGGTACATGTGTGTGTTTGTGTGTGTGTGTGTGTGTTTTGAGAGAGAATGTGTTTACTGTTTTCTGTAGGGTTGTTAGAGAAGCTCTGTTTGAACAGAGACCTCAAGGAACTAAAAGAATGAGCCTACACAAACGGGGAATAGCACATGCAAAGACCCTGAGGGGGGAGCTTGTTAGGTGCATTGGGGGAACCAGCTGGCAGTACGCTGGAGCCCAGGAGGTGAGGGGACAGGTATTAGGAGATGAGATCAGATAATGGGTAGGTTGGTTGGAGGAGTGGTTATGCAAGATCTTCTTGACCATGATACGGAGTTGGGAGTTTACTTTGAGTGAAATGAGAATTCACTGGAGAGTCCTGAGGAGAGAGGCATAAAGTGATTTGACTTAACATCTTAAAAGGATCACTGCTCTAAGAATGGATTGAGGCTCTGGAATCTGGAGAAGATTAATTCTTTTGGAGCTTCAGTTTCCTTTTTTGTAAAATGTATTATTATAATAATAATGAAAATGCCTCCCAAAGGTTTTTGTGAGGTTTATGTGAGATGATTCATGTAAAGGATTTTGAATGGTGCCTGGCACATAGTATGCACTCACTGAACATAAGCTGTGGTTAGAATAGGACCCCTCTCTGGCAGAGAGTCACTGGCCTTTGCTGCTTGAACACTGAGCTCCGGAGGCAGCATGGTTAGCAGACTGAGTTTTCCTGTGAGAACCAAGCTGAAGACAGCTGAGATCCAGCTGGATCTGGTTTTCTGTGCTTAAGCCGAGGAGAATACTAGACATTTGATGATTACATGGGAATACGGTGACCAGTGCATCCCATTTTGCTGAGACTCTCTGAGAACTGAAGTGTACCCCTCAGTCCAATACATTGGTTACCCTAAATGTTCTGACGAATAACACACAATGGAAGATAAGGTCAGGCTTTTCAGTTCAATTTATTCCCTTCCTTAGTTTCTTTGTTGTTAGAAGACAAACAAACACAAATCTGGCAAAAAACCATGTATATGTGTAACTCCAAGCCAAGAAATCTGTTGCAGACAAGGCATTGGTTGGCATGCTCAGTGTGTACTTCTTGAATGGAACTGATGTGACTTCAGAGTTTGCAGCTTTGTGAATTTCTGCGTGTACTCCACTCTCCGCTGCTCTGTGTTGGAATGAAGTGGGTTGACAGTGAGTAGCATTTCTCAATTCATGTAACTCAGAGCAGGGCTTAGGGATACCTTCATCCCACCCTCCATCATTTATCCACAGATACTGAGAACTGAGTCTATACCAGAAATTTTATGGAAAATGCAGGATTTAGAATTAAATGTCTGCTTGTGTCTGGCTGTTTACCTATTCAGTCTGCCTCTGTCTGTCTTAGGTGAACAAAAGTCAGCACTGGGTAAACTGTCTATTTCTAGGCATTAACCTGAAACTGACCCTGCTGATTCTGGACAGCTGGTCTGTGCATTTTTATATTTTTCCTCCTTCTGCTCTAGCATCTGCCTTTGAAACTTCAGATTTATAGATTCCTTGGGCTTCTCTCTCTGATTTTGCACTTAGCCTGTCACATTCGGCTTTCCCAGAGGTGCTCAGAGAGACCTTCCTCTTGCTGCTTCTGGTCCTGGGATCCTGCTGGCCTGGCCGATGTGTGGCTTGCTTGGACAGGGAAGGGAGTTTAGACTGAAACTGCAGCTGAAACGCAGTGTTTGGGACCACTGAATTGAGCATGCTTGTGGGTGCCTGAACTCCGCATCCGGGTAGTGAGGTGGGGATGTGAACTCAGGTCCAGCCAACTCCTTGCTTGTAATTTGCAGGGGCCAGGTCAGACCATTGATGTGAATGCCTGCACACTGCCTGCACTCCTCCACCTGAAAAGTCTTTTGGGCCAGGGTTCGCCGGACTGTGATGTTTTCTACATTTTTCAGTGTGGGATAGCTGGTTATTTGGAAAGATTTCCCAGAGAAAAGTGAGCCTTTAGTGTAATGAAAGCTCCTGACTTGGACAGTTACACTTGCCTGCACAGTACCACCTGTAGGCTAGTGTGGAGTGCATCTTAGAACTACGGGAGACCAAATTTGGGGGACCCATGTTGCCCAAGCCAAGAATGACTGTAGGATGTAGCTAAAATATTGACCATCAAAGCATGTATCAGGCATGTTCAGTGTTTTATTGGGGGATCATTGGATATTATTCATTTCTCATGCCCTGATAACTGACCTCAGGAAGCAAAGGGTCTTCAAAGGCCTTTCTATGGTGGAGTAAATCTCTGCCCTAGTTCTGGCTTCCTCTGGCTTGTCTATCCTTACACTGTGTAAACAAGTGCCTTCAACACCGTGATGGCACTTGGCATGCTGGCTTCTACCCTCACCTCCCTTCCCGAAGAAGGTTATTGCTGTTGGTACAGGTGAATGACCTTGTGGGAGCTGGTGCTGTTGGCTTGAGGTCTGCCCTGTGACTGTGCTCTGACCCTTTGGCCTGGAGCAGTGGTGGCAAACCCAGAACCTCATCCCTGGCCAGGTGAGAGGCCATCTTTGTTAAAGTGATTTGACGTCTCTAATTTTAGGGGCTAGACACACACCTTGTGCATCATCCAGGACTCCTGGCAGTGGCAGAAATACATCCTCCAGCCAGGGATTTCATTGGTTGAGACATTGGCACAGGCAGCGGGTGCTGTGCTGTGCTGTGCAAAGGGGATTGATGGAGAGCCACAGCTGTCCAGATATGATGCAGAGCGCATAGGGAACCACTCTTCCAGTGTCTCCAGCCACATGGCTGTTCCAGCTGTGACGGGCACGCTTCGCATCGTACTTGGCTGGCCTGTGTACATCCCAGCAGGGGGTGACCACATGCAATTGCAGGGCTCTGCTGCTATGTCACCGTGCGTTGCCTGTTCAAATCCTGATGTGCTCTAAAGACATTCTCTGTGTGCTCCTTGTTGGTGATGTGCCCAGGTCCAGGACAGGCTTGGGAAGTAAGACGGATCGTCTCATTCCCTCCCATCCCTCCAGATCCTCCAGATCCTCCAGGCCATCACCCTTTGGTTCCGATTTCCTTTATTTGTAGGACTGTGGGAGAAATGTGCACCTTCACGAAAATAATACATCTGTGAACTAGGAACATTTCTTTCCCTATGTTTTAAACAATACTGGGAATTAATATTTTTATTTTTGTCAGTGTGCCAGGAGAAAAACGGGCTTCGTTGTTTTATTTGCATTCCCTTAGGTACTAGACAGCATGTATTTAGTAGCTCTTTGTCTTCGTCTGTGTTTGATCCTTTGACTCCGTTAACCCTCCCACGCATCACGCCGTGGCAGGCACAGGAGAGCCAGGCCTGGTGACAGTGCCTGCCTGCCCCCGGGCTTGGCGAGGACAGTGACCTGCTTACTCCTGACCTGCTTGTGGTCTTTGGTTTTAACAATTTGTTCCTGGCTCCCTAGACCACTTTCTGCTCAGTTCTCAGCATTGTACTTATGCTGATTAACATTCTCCCTTGCTCAGGGAGACAGTTTTCTTATGGCTTCTAATAACCAGGCCAACCCACTACCTCTAGTCAGAGGATAAGAACAAGGGAAAATATTTGATCCTGGCTGCCAGTTCATAGTCTAGGGAACAAAGAAACACCAAAACCAAAAAAATAACAATGACATAAACACCAAAAAAAAAAAACCCAGAAAACAAATGAGTGCCTTAAACAATAATAGATGTCCAAGAGGAGTAAACCCTAGGTGAACTAGGGGCTCTCCTGCCAGGTGCAGGCACGTCCAGAAGGCGAGAAGCTGGACAAGGATGAGCTGGCCTTCCATGCAGCAGTTGCCAAGGCCAAGAGGGCCCTGGGGGCAAATTGCAATCAAATCTATGTCTGGAGGAAGATGTGCCTAAAAATGTAGGTGGGGTCAGCTTCCTAAGCCTTTTAAACTATGCCAAGAAGTATGGATCTCATCCTGCAGACAGAAGTCATCGTCACCTGCTGGTCTAATATAATGATCGTAGCCAGTGTTCCCTCACTGCTTGTTACATACCAGGAGCTGCGCCAAGCATTTCAATCACTTAGCCTCAGTCTCAGGTCCGTGTTTCAGATAGATGACGCTGTCGGGGAAATACGGATTAAGGGGCAAGACTGGAGGAAGGAGATTAGTTGCAATAGTTAGAACAGAGGGTATGGTGGCTGATTGTGAGGGTGGAAAGAAAGAGACAAACTTGAGAGAAGTTAAAGAGGCAGAGTTGACAGGACTGGGCAGGTGAGGGGGGTCTGGGATGACTGCCGGATTGGCTCGGATGAATATTGCATGAAGCTTTCGTGGTCTGGGAGAGCATAAGAAGACTGAAGTGTTTCGCATGCACCCACTTGGTTAAACACCCCTGTGGCGCACTTTTGTTGAGTGAAAAGACGTGTGGGTTTGAATCCTGTATTCCACCATTTACTGGGGCTGTGGTATTGGACCATGGCTCTCACTTACAGCTGAGGGCTTACATAACCTTTCTAGGCCTCAGTTTTCTCAACCACAGCGTGAGGATAATCCTAGCCTGAAGGAGGATCGGATCGACTGAGTGACTTTTTGTGTGAGTGGTAATGATAAGGCAGAGTGCCGGACACATCCACATCGTGGGCCTTCGTCACACGGGGCCTGTTACCTCCACAGTGGAATTCTCTCTCAACACCACCAACAGCAGCAACACGTTTGGTGATGTACATGCTGTAGTGTTTCATGTAGAAGGAAATATGTTGCCAGTAATTAAAAAGTGGAGCCGAGTAAAGGTGTTCCTCGGAAAATCTGAGAAAAGAAGAAATTTTGATTTGTCGTCTCTAGTCACATAGAGCTGACATTTTCCAAAAGCATTTTGGATGTACCTTGCCTGGGTGTACTGCACGGCCTCATGCATAACCACTTAGGAGCCACCTGTACACGGGCCAGCTTTATCTAGTTAAATGTGTGGTTTTCATTGTAGGACCCCGAGTCAAATTTGATCCAACAGTCAGAAGAAAGTGATCTTGGAGTCGTTTCCAAAATTTCCCAGTTATCTTCCCATCCAGTACTTGGTGACTGGTCCATTCAAGCTCAAGTAAATGTGAGTATAAATATATTTTCTGGGGGGAATGTTAATATGATTTAAATAGGTCGGGTGGGGGAAATATCTCCAAAGTCGTTTATTCAGTGAACAGAAAGACATTAATCTGAGCATCTAGACAATTCAAGTGGTTTATTTTTAATTTACTATTGCTATCAATGGGTTAGCCTTTGTTATAACATATGTGAGGTTTAATCATTTTTTATGTAATATAACATTTGAAGATTAAAACTTTACATTTTAGTATGAAACTGGTTAAATGATGTTTATTGTACTTACTGCATACATTGAATATTTTAGAACAGTAATAAATATGTAGCTATTATATGGCAAATTTTATGTCCCAGAATGGTGACTTTTGATGAACGGTTGGGCTAACCTACTTTATCTTTACTTTAAAAACTCCAGTGACCTTAAACGGCCACATCAATCTCTGTTCCCCAGTCTTTCCTTCTCCTCAGCTCCTTCACCATTTCCTTTGTTTGCTGCCAACTCCCCTAGCTCTGAGATCTAGCAGGACAGGGGCACAAAAATGCCCCATCCATCCATCCACCCACTCACCCACCCACCCATCCATCCATCCATTCACCCACCCGTCTGTCCACCCTCTATCCATCAAGTATGTGTTGAGAACTTACGTGCCATGGCAGATACAAGGAGGCTAAACAT